GCTAATAGTACAAGCAACGAATCAATAGTAAAGATGAAAAAGAATTAAGAACTGACTTACTAGCAGTTGCTTCATCGAGTACAAATATTTTACTCCTTCTCAAGAGAGCTCGTGCTAGACACAATAATTGTCTTTCACCAGCACTAGAGAAAAAACGAGAATAACAGAGACGTATGTTACATAATCAAATTATTTGAATTCACCTCATATTCCCGCCTCCTTCCGTCAACAAATGTGACAGACCATTTTCCATTGCATCAACACGTTTTTTCATATGTACCAATTTCAATACGGTCCAAATTTCTGTATCACTATAGATGCCAAATGGATCAACATTGAATCTTACCGTACCAGCAAAAATGACTGCGTCCTAAAGATCGAAAATTCATCTGGCTGTGCAACGATAGACAAAAAGTCACTTGTGGAATGATAGTAATCTTTGATCGCAAATCGTGTAGCCCAATATGACGAATGTCGACATCATCAATGATAATTTGACCGTTGGCTGATTCAATGATACGAAAAAGTGCCATACACAAGCTACTCTTTCCACTGCCCGTACGACCGATAATTCCAATCTAAATTAATCTAGACATATCAGGTCTGAAGTGCATATATATGTTTAACCTTCTCTCCAGACTGAATGTGAATAGTCAAATTATTGAGTACCAATTCCAAATTTTCTCTATAACGTACTGATAATTCCTTGATTCTGAAAAGCAAGAGTCAAAAAATAAACATAAAATAATAGTAGTTCAAGACAATTGTTTTTTTAATTCAGCTCTTTGAGTAATACGAAATCTGAGAGTTCCTACTGAGTATCAAAACAACAAATAAAGGATATGTGCCATACTCAGGATGTCACAAAAAATGATTACAGAAATGCCATCAATGTCGAATATGGAAAAGACGGTATCACTTCAGTGCCGAAAACATGGAGATTAACCCGCGACCGATCAGCGGGTCAGCAAAGAAGTTTTTGTAGAAACAATCTCTTTTCTTTTCTTATTAATAATCAGGCCTGTATATGATGTTTTCGGTCATAGTTATTTGATGGAACGCCACATCTGAATCAAACTTATGGTATTATCATTTTTTCGGATTTTTGAACGTAAAGGGAATCACAGAACGCTTGTTTGCAGTCGCAAGTTCTTCTCCCCAGGCTTACGCATAAAAATCGATTCTTTTTTGTGAAGATCATCTCAAGAACGAGAAGTCTCTGGTTGCTCGTTCAAATGTATGAGAAGTCCCTTTATTTGACTTCGCTCTATGCTCACTCTAACATGAATAAAGTATCCAAGAGTGTGAAGAAGCGACAGCGAAAAACAGAACAGAGAGAAAAGAAAACGAAAGAAGAAGAGAGCGAAACCAGACGTGACACATTGAAGTGATGTGAAGGCATGTATATACAATCTTCCAGGCTCCGAAAGTATAGAAACACTGTTCGGTTTTTTTGTGAGATATCTGTTTCATCTCTCGTCACTACCAGAAAACGCGAGATTTCCTTTGTCACATACACAGTTGAGTGTCTAATTGATACGTGCCGTTCACATATACGTACTTTGAAGGAGTAGAACGAACGTCCAACTTTCTGTCGGTTGCCTTTGCGTCTTATCTCAACTGGTTATCTTGCAACAAATTAACTGCAATATTTCTTCGTGGAAGTTATATTCTTTTATCATCTCGTCAAAATCATTCATTACGGATTAATAAAATCCAAAGCAGCATGAAAACCTGCACATATAGCGCGTGTTTTCGAGGAAATTGAAGAAAAAAAACCATCTCTCAGAAGTTCTAGGGGGTACGCCAATAGCAAAAAACGGTGTCAGAATCGTGAAAGAGAAAAATGGTCATATGGCACAAATGATTGTTTGAACTTTTCCATAATTAGATGCCCTCATCAAATTCGCAAGAATGGAACATGTCATTTTGTTCTTTGCAGAAAAATTTCTGATGAGATCCAGAAATGAGTTCTTCTAGAAAGTTTTGATATTCACTAAAACTGCTTAGATTTCTGAAGCTTAAAGAAAAAATCTCAACAAGATAAGTTATTTTCAAATGTTGTTTCGCAATCAACATACAGAATCTCTCCTTTAGTAGGCCAATCAGGTGGCGGTTGCTTTTCCTGACTTTCCCATGGAGCTTCAGGCGGCAATTCTGCATATTCGTTGATACGTTCTACGCCAATAATATTTGTTTCGATCTCGCTTGCTTGACGAACAAGCATTTGAAGAGATTGTGTGATTTGTATAGCGCAAGTGACCATTAAACCGGCATTACCAGCCGTCATTTGATGACGCATAAGCACAGCAGAGACAGCAGTCAACAATGTAAGTAGGTTGGTAATCATTTCAAGGCGAACAGCAAGCCATCTAATGATCAACAGACATATAAAAACATTCAACTCCATCTTTGTGATTTATAATAGTAACGAAAACGGTAGAAACTTTAAGGCATCCTCTGCACTCAAAAAACTATTTATCTTTTATGAATCTATCTGACTGAAATTTGCAGGGTAGGTGTATCCTCGCCTAGATAGTTCATAGTCAAAATTTGAGCCCAAAATATTAGTGTTCAGAAGTCATCCTAACATCAATTGTCAAAAAAGCAGGTATCCATGTGTCGCAGATTTCTCCTCCTAGTCTAATGATAAACGTTTCGGATTAATGCCAACTTGCAGCCGAGACTTGTCGCTACAACCTAACAGAGCCGCTTTAAAAAATCTTCTCGAGCTTTGTAGCATGTAAAATGCCTGAGGAATTTGGGATGCACGAATCAGAAAAAAAAGACAATCGATTTCGAAAAAAAAACGCCACACGAAGTTGGGCTGTGGAAATTCAGACTTTTTCCTTCGTAGAGATTTTCAGCAGAGATCATTCGGAACGAATGCATGGAGTACACTTGCTAGACTGTGTGGGCTATGTTCTCCAAGTTAGAAACCTATAGACATGATCAAAGGCCTTCAACCAAACATTTTTCTGCTTGTGAAATTTTAAAATAACCGCTAGCAAATCGTGAAAAATCATCGAAAAGCATCATAAAACCGAGGAATGATAGTACGTTCGAAAGTAGAAAATGTGGGGTATTCGACCATATATAAAGCTCAAAAATCGATACTTTTGACAAAAATGAGATATCTTGAGTGAGAGGAGCCTTAAATGGATTAGAAATAGGTAAATCATACGTGCTAGCAATACAATTGGCAAAAGCACACGATTGATTTCTATCGGTCAAATGATCTGATATATCGATGAAACATTGTTGTACATTGTAAGCTCGAATCGAACTAAGACCTTGAATTGTCTCGTCAAAATTTGCATAGATCGAGCTACGTGTAGTCGAATCAAGGCGGCGAAGTTGTCGAGAACACGACACAAATACACGCTACACATACA